CATTGTTCATAATGAGCATGGGGAATCTCTGACGAACAAAATGTCGCAAAATACATTGGATACTGCAGGTGCTGAAACACCATGGAACCGTGGCCCGCTTCAATTCCGGAGGAAGCAGAGGACAGCATTTGAGGTTTCATGCGACGCCATTTATTCGTCACAATGTATTGGTATCTGTACACGAAAGGGTCTCTAAGCTGATCCGTATTTCCATCCATGTCCTGAATCCTAAGTGGTCTAATTGTATGTAGGCCGAATTACCATGTCATGTTCCAAATACTTTAAGTTTTATTAGCTTTAGTTGCTTTTCCAGGAGTACTTGATTCTTTGTTGTCCTGTTGCCCAATATTTTTATTCTTTTTCCGTTCTTATGGTAAGAAGCGAATTTCTTGCAGTTTTATTCAAGCAATTAGCTTGACTTCATTCTTACGCAATAACTGGGCGTTGGTCACACTGCAGTTTACTGTGGTCGGCTGAGCACTGAACTGCCAAGGCTAGGATTGTAGTTCGAGGACTCTATGAGAGATCGTGTAGCTTTTATCGTTTAGAGGTAGGAAAGTGAATATAACCATATGACAGAGGAAAGAACCAGCAAAACCTCTCCTTACGTCGGCCTTCTCAGTTGTGCCCTGATGACACTGCCGCTCTGGTAGCATGACACATTGGTAGCAAAGTTTCCACCGCCGGTGTGCTTTGGTGTTCTCAAGCCTTAATCGATCCTGCTGCTACACTTGGAAGACCAAATCCTGTTCCAGTTACAGTTACAGCTTAGGTTCTGTGAGAAAAAAAGCAAGGTCACCGATAAAACACATCATAGAAATGTCAGAGGCCAATGTTCCATCGAATATAAATTTTCTCCTTCTTCTTTCTATGCTCCATATAAACGAGACCTGTTCCGATTCGCCTATTGTGTGCCCTAAAAAACGACACTCGACTTCTTGACTTCACGACATCGACATCCTTTCTGACCTGGGGAACGGATCTCAGGGGAGATATCTACATATTTCAACAACGGTGCTTTTCCAGATCGAACGAGCGGTGGAAAAATGCCAGATTGTAAAAGTACATTAGTGAGCCAGTTAGAAATCAGTAACAACGAAAGCACTGAACTTGACAAAGAATGGTAATCTTTACCTTGCATCGATATCCAACAAGAACAACAAATTAAGACAGTTGGATTGTGTCCAAGTTAATAACAAATTTTTTCTTCTACTGGCGTTATGAGAATATCATCGCGATCTGCAACTTGACTCGAGAAATATTGAACTTATAGCAATGCTGAATGCCACGGAAGTCCTGTCTTGTTTTTCACTTCCAAAACAAATGGTCTCGTCTGAGATCTACCACTAAGATTCAGTCTGATTCTTTGTCAGACAATAAAATGTCACCACCTTCTCAATTCTCGACCTGGTCTGTGATTTGCAACACCATTGATTTGGTGTATTACCTTATTGCAGCGCCATCGCTACAACACTGTCACGATCACCGTGACTTTGGCGCCTCATTCGATTTAATTTTGGTTGGAGGTGCCATTAGAGACCGAAGGCATGACCCGTCACTCAATTCGACGGAAGGCACGCCACCGTGATTTATGAGCGTCACGGTTTCTACAAAAAACAACCATAAACAAATGGAAAATTTCTAGTTTTTGACTCCGGCAGCAAGAATAACAATCTCCCAATTTCTCCGGATTCGCACCGTCCCATCGTTTAGTAGTGGTAGTAATAATACTAATAGTAATAGTAATAGTAGCAGTAGTAGTAATAATAACAGTAGTAGTAGTAGTAGACTAATAGCGCCCTTGTGCACCATTTAAGCAGGAAACGGTTCCACAATATTTATGTGCTACACCTCCAGTTTTATTTTATGGGTTGAGGTATACGTCTGCGAATTGAAATGTATACACTATTGTTCGACCCAAAAAGGGGTGCTGTTCTGCATCCGCACGTTGCAAATGACAAAACACTATTCAGTTGTCGGCTTAAACGGTCCTTTAGGGTACTAGAAGCGACGGAACAGTGCGAATATGCCATGCGAATCCAGAGAACCGACAAGCAAAACAAACCCAATGGCCCACAGGGTGCGCACGAAAAGGATGGAATCATTTGGGCATGCAGTCAGGTTGGCCTTTATCAGACTTTTGAATCGTAGAAATTGTGCCGTCAATACATTATCAGAGAGTGTTAGCGCTCACTATTTATCACTGTTGGCGAACAGAGTGGAGCGCACTTAATGGAGTCAAAGAAGAGTGCCACGAATTTTTATTTTGACCTCATCAGGGCTCAATACAAGTTATAACCTCGCATGCCCCTGCATCAGCCTGTGTGCGATTCGGAGACAGTGGAAAGGAGTACGGCATGCATTGCAGAGGTATCTACATGTCTTCATGGATCTTTTAAAGCAAATCAGGCCGTAAAGTATTTTGAACCAAATTTGAATTTAAATTTTCAGCTAATCAGCTATGCGGGTCGTTCAAAGCAAAATACAGTCATAAGGCGCAGAAATTAAAAAGTATGGCCATGTTTATAGCACGTGTCGATACGACCACACTGGAACATCAAGCTATCGGTGTTATTCGCAGATCGGCCATTTGCCTGCGTTTCTCGGCTGGTTACATCGAAATACAATGAGTCAAATTCTAACTCAAATTCATCGAAATAATTAGCAACCTCAAAGAAAGTTTGTGCCATGTCTTGATTAAAATTGGCTAACCGCTCCGTACAAAGCTAAATGGCTTCTTTCAGTTCATTACTCATCCTTCTCTCCATTAGGTGTCACTATCACTCGTTTGTTTTTCTTCTGAAAAATAAGTCTTGGTAAATGATACACCTGGATAAATGAGTACCACTGTGAGAAGGGCATAAAAAATTGCACATTGTGCTTGTCACATAGCTCTTGTCTACTTTGCCTTTAAAATAGAGTTTTCCTGGCTGACGGCATGGAAATGTAGATTGGCACGCCGACACTGACGTCATGAAATCAAGGTCTCTAGAAGTAGCCCCATCACCAAAGTATGAATAAGCCCGACATTCCAATTGGTCAGAACCCTTCCTTTCCTTTTCCTTCAACTGGAGAGGATTGCAAGAGGCAACGAAGTTTATCATGTGGTTTCCTGTTTCGACTCCTCAGCGTGGTTCGACCCCGCCAGGGTTTACTCTCTTTGAAATGAACCGCCAAATTTGCAATCCCGTTCTGCATCCGACGACAAATGCTCATTATTACGTTTCAATTTCGACGATGACAACTTTTTGCCACGATCCGTGAGAGTGCCTCCTTAGCGGAGTACGGCGTTTAAGT